GCAAATAATGTGCCCATTTATTCATTTGTTTTTTGTATGACACAGTTCCAATTCCAAAAAAAGGTTAAAGACAGTAGACATAGGGTCATAAAATGCATAGACCTAATGTAATGAATTGCATAGTAAGTAATAAAAACATCAACCATAGAAGAGATTTCATTTTCCAAACATAAATATCTTTTTTAAAGAATGGAAACTTATCCTTTCCATGGATAAAGAGAAAGATAATACATATATAAAGTAAACACAAGATCAGCACATACATAAAATGGTCATAAAACTAATTATAGATATTAAATCTACATATATTTAGAAAAATTCACATAATTGTATTTTCTAAGATCAATGTTTGAGGCCTCTAAACTAAAAGCCAATTAAATCAATGACCTTTGATATACTGCTTAAGCTAAGAGCTAAACTTCAAAATCAAAGCAAATGTGACATAGATAATTTAGGAGCAAATGAACCAGCAAATATCCGAGAGTTGAATGACCAAGCACTTCACTTTCCACTTAGAACATATATCAAAATTCAAATATAGAAACACACTGCATGTCCTAGAAAGAGCAAAAATGCTTTGCCAAATCAATCAACTACAAGAAAACGTGGTAATTTAACCAAAAAAAAAAAAAAACTTTGATCTTATTCCGGCCATATGCATTGAGATCCGAAGGCTTAAACCGCATGAAAAAAAAAGGATGCAAAATGAGAGTAAACATTACTCTAATGTGTATACGGCTATGAATGGCATTAAGACGGATCCAATCCACAGCTTCCCGTCCTTCTCCTCAACTTCGCTGGCAGCTCTAACCACCTTTCCTTCTCGATCCTCCAACATTTCAAGCAGCTCTCCTTCAGGGCTGTACCTGGCAATAACCGCATGAAGCTTTCCACCAATACGCACCAAGAACTGCAGTCTTGCTGGAATTGGAAGTTTCAGCAGAAATTTTGACAACCGGAGATATGTGCTCAAGATATAGGCAACTCTGGTGGCGCGGCAATGTATTGCCACCCAGAATTCTCCCTTATCATTTGTCCTCACATTATCTGGAAAACCAGGCAGCTGAACAAAAACCTCAGATGTCCCAGCCTTGTCACCCTTCAACCAATATCTACTCAACCTGCATTGCCACAAAATTTTGAGGGACAAATAGTTTTTCAGGCTCTAAAGATGCAAATCAAAAGAAGAAAATGAGGCACAAAGAAATGTTAACCTTCCACGACTGCCTTCACTGAATATAAGGAAAGATCTGTCCTTGCTTAGGGAGACGCCATTAGGGAATTGAAGGTCTCTAAGGAGGACTGTTGTTTCTTTAGTAACTGAATTATATTTCAGAAGCCTCCCTGAAGGCTCAGCAGAGAGCACCAGTTGAATGAAGTGCCTACAAAAGCAACAGATGTGTCAGTTGTTTCTGATTAAATAGTGCTATGGTTAAGTAATAGTGCAAATTGCCTGGCTTGTTTATGACTTACTTTAAGGATTAGTTCATTATAAATATGAAGAAGGGAGCAGTGTCTTCTAACCATAGAGCAGAAACGGCTGTCATATATATTAGAGTACCATTTTTTAATTAATATGTGGAACCTTAAGCAACGAACTTGATCTACTGAATAAAGCGTACCACCGAGATTTTAAGAGAATCTTGCTCCATCCGAGATTTATATCATATATGTTTTAGATTTAGTATGAAGGGAAAGCTAATTGTGCTGCTGGTGAGGATCTTTCTCCATCTGAGATTAGGTGACGTTTCCTCTCAATTAACCATCGAAAAACATTAACTTGGTGTTTTAGAATTTAAGAGTAATAATCAGTACCTTACATCCATTCGAAGCAAACCACCACTTCCGATTTGCATTTTGCATATAATGGCATATAAACAGTTTCGACATCTTCATATCTAAAAAAGCCTATTCTTTTTATTCCCCTCCACCATTCATCCACCCTATATCAACTAGTTGAAGCTTTAAGTTTATGTTAAGCAGAAAAATTTATGCATGGGTGCCTTGATTTAATATATATCATGAATTTCCCAAAGACTCGTATTTTGATTAGGGTCGTCTCTCTTTCATTACGCAACTCAAGGCATTTTCTCTTCAAGCCTCTCTCTCATAAAAGACTACAGTTTCATGTTTCCCACTAGATCCATCCTCATTCTGGATTTTCATATGAGGATTCTTAAAAAGGAGTTGAATTTTGACTTAATCTACATAACCCCTTATTGTTCCAAAATGGATATTATTTCCTCAACTCAAAAAACTTCTTTATAAATCAGTTTTCTTAAATCTTTGCACTCAGTTTTTTATGTTCCAATGACAATGACTGCAAGAACTTTCATGGCAAAGGTCCTAATTGAGATTGATGTTACTGAAAAGTTTGAGAGCATTTAGATTGACAGTATGGAAAATATTGATTAGTAGAAAGCGGTTTTAGTAAAAGTCTTATCCTATTATTTTCATTGTCATTTTCTTGGCCATGCTTTCCTTTGATAGGAATTTTGCAAATAATACGGCAAATAATGTGCCCATTTGATGTGAGTGAACCCCAATAAACTTCATTTCCATACAATGGCATCTGTTGATGTGTTATTCATATATTATGGAGGTATTATTGAGGTGCTATTATCGTTTAAACAATAATAACACCTCAAAATCACCTCAGTCACAATGATTGTTATTAATGTGTTATTGGTGTGTTATTGATGTGTTATTGATGTGATAAAACCATTGACAAAAGAACAACCTCTATTGAAGTGTTATAGATGTGTTATGGAAGTATTATTGAGGTGTTATTATTGTTTACACAACAATAACACCTCAAATTGTTGTTTACACAACAATAACACCTCAAAAATACCTCAGTCATAATCATTTCGGGGTTATTCTACTAGATTTAAGGCTCGATCACAACCATTTCTTCGTTATTATATACCATACAAAATGGAAAATATTCTAATTCTACTCTAAATGAAAATGTAGCATAATACCTGGATTTTGTTGAACTGCTAGGTTTCATGGTTGTCCTTAATGGTTGTGCCTTTCACAGACGAGGCAATGCGCCAATTAGGGTTTTGCCAACCGACAAAAGTTGCCGAATGAATCACCTTCCTTTGAGTGGCGTGGAATGTGTTACAAAAACCTAGGGTTTCGCCAAAAAGGAAGGAACCGGACGCAGAGCTTGAAACCGTCAGAATAGTGCCATGAAAATGCCAAAGAATGCCTTTTGAATGAAGCATCACAACTTTGGGTTCGATTCGGGTCGGGTCAGACGATTAGAAGTAACTTTTTGAATTTTAAAAATACTGGGTCTAGGTTTCGAGCCGGGACGCGCGGTAAAAATCATTTATTTTCATCGTTTCTTATGCGGGTCTCGACATTCCACGTGGTGATTCGGGATTGGACTCCAGACAGAGCTCTGCATCCGAAGTTTGGAAGTAATATTTTCACATGTTAAAATATCTAATTTAAATTTCAGGATTTATTTTTTTTTCCTGTTAAGACTTATAATAAAAAATAATTTATTCCTAGAAAAAAGTTATAAGGAATAAATTCTTTCCTTAATATAAGGAGATATTTTTGTTTCATATATTAGGAATTATTTGTTTTCCTATTATCTCCTAATAATTAAATATGAATTAATTATTGGAGATATCAGGTGATATATCTTTCCTTTCATATTATTTTTTTTTATTATTTTTCTTATTATAGGATTCTTATAAGGGTTATTTATACCTCATTCATATCAATGAAAGTATTCTGAAATATTCCACATTATTCTAAATTTCAACATGCTATCAGAGCGAGGTTCGAGGGCAGGGAAAAAAAATTTGGGCAGCGCGGGAATAAAGAAAATTTCGGCAAGGTTCGCGGCAGTTTGTATTTCGGCGCAGAGGAAGTTCGAAAATGAAGAGGGCTTCGGACGGTTCGGCAGGAAGACGAGGGCTTTTCCGCGAAGGCTTCAAGTGCGACGCCAGGCGAGCGAAGACAGTAGGAGTTAGGCGAAGTTTCGGAGGAGTCGGTGCGGAAGACGTCGACGAGATCAGCAGAGGTGCAGGAAGGCGTCGACGAGATTGACAGAGGAATCACGGCAGGAATCGCGACATTCGCGATCGCGACAGAGGAATCGCGGCTTCGGCTTCGGCGGGTGTGACGGGGGGTGGTTGGACCGGCGTCAGGCGAAGTCACTACAGGCAAAAAAGAAAGGTTTGGCGTCAGCCTAGAGCTGAGGCAAAAATTGGAAGCTTCAATTTCATTCCTTTGCTGAAGGCGGAAGAAAATTGGAAGAGAATCAAGTTCCGATTTTATTGTGGAGAAGAAAATTGAAAGAGAAATCAAGTTTCGATTTTATTCCTTTGAGGGAGGCGGGGAAGAAAATTGGAAGGAAGGAAGTAAGTTCCAATTTTATTCCTTTGCTGCGTAGAAGAAATTTGGAAGGGATATTTTTCAGATTTCTCTAGAGGCAATAAAGGAAATTTCCTCCTATTAACCAAGAGAATTTTGTTGCACGCGGAGATTTTGCAGGACGCAGGAAAGACAAGGAAAGAGAATCTGCTGCTGCACTCGGGAAAGGAAAGATTTTTTTCCGAAATGAAAGCGTAGCAAAGTTTTTCTGGAAGGAAAGCGGAGCTTTTCTGAAAGAAAAAAAAGAGTTTTTCTGGAAGAAGAGAGCTTTTCTTGTAAGTTTAAGGAAAAAGATTTCTGGGAAAATTTAATTAAGGAAAAATTCTTTTTTTGGGAAACTTAATTAAGAGAATCTTAATTAAAAGATTATTTAAAAATATTTGTGGCCCAACCCACATTGGTGCATAAGAAACTCCATGATGTATTTTCTCTTAAGGGGCTGAATATTCGCCAAAGTGGTTATTTGTTAGGCATATGCATTTCTCCTAAGGGGCTGGATATTCGCCAATGTGGAGATTTGTTGGGCATATGTATTTCTCTTAAAGGGTTGGATATTCGCCAATATGAAGATTTGTTGGGCATAAATATTTCTCTTAAAGGGTTGGATATTCGCCAAGGTGAAGATTTATTAGGTATGACTCATATACCAGATAAGGGACAGATGCTGGAGCGGAGGGGAAGATTCTGCCCAAATTAGAAGAGTTTCCTTATGTGGGTTGAGGGTACGGTACAGGGGTAATTTGGTAATTATATATTGTACTCAATTTTTCCTTTTCTGTTCTTTTTAGGGTTATAAATAGGTTTGCTTGTAACCCTAAGTTATTCTATTATGTATCATGTTCTTTTTTTTTCTGGATTAGTGAAAAAGTTACCGCTTCGCTGCTGAGGATGTAGGCATCTTTACCGAACCTCGTAAATTTCTGTGTTCTTCTGGATTTGTGTCGATTCCTATTTTCTTGCCCCAAATTTCTCAACAAGTGGTATCAGAGTCAGATTTTTGCCCTAACCACCGATAATTGTTGGAGTACCGTCAAGACTCCCTTCTCGCCGACCAGCCTTCTTGCAGGACGAGAAGGGAGGATGCCTTGATTCTCGTTCATTCGTCTGCTTGTCGTCTCATGATTTCTTTAGATCTCCTTCGATAACTATCGTTGCTTCTTCCACTTCGACTTCGTCAGCTTCTTCGTGTTAATGAGACGACCGGAAGGGAGGAACTATTTCTCCACCTTCAATTCATTAACAACGTTTTTTGTCCGCATTGACTGCTTCATCTCCTTCATCCCCTCAAACTGACCCTTCCCTTTCGCGGAAGGTTCTTCCGCTGATCGATAGAGCGGGCACGAAACTAGTTCGCTGCTGCCCTTTCCCGGTTGATATCGTCACATTGCTTACCGTCGGCGCCTTTGATAATTGCTTCTCCTCTCCTGTGTGTGAGGGAACATTTTCGGTTCCGTCGCCATCGAAGTTGAGAGGGGAGACCTCACCCATTGTCGGCAGAGATCCCGCATTAAAGCGTTCACTCATTCGTCGATATCTTCGCCTTCTGCAACTCTTTTGGTTTCTTCTTCTCCGATCTCGCCTCCTAGTTGCCTCTTAGTCTCCGCTACTGATCTCGGACCATACGGCAATGGCTTCGTACATCTCCGCCCGTACCCTAAATTCTAGTCTGTACTCCGAATCGGCAGAGACTCCTCCCATGAGGAAATCAATAAGGAATCCAATAGCGCCAGCTTCCTTTGGTGCGGAAGCAACGGCAGAAAAGGATGGAGTGATGGGTGGAATGCTTCCGTGATAATTTTGCATAATTGGGATCTGCACTGCTGCATTGCCATAGGTGTGAGGGAATTTGTGAACGTTGCTATTCCTAACAGGGGCGCGAGGGGCAATCTTAGAAATGAAGTAAGATTGTCCATTCAATTTCTGCAACACAGATGGATATCTCAGCTGGTCTTCCATAATTAACAGCCATTCAATTTCTGCAAAGCCGCCATCTTCTTATACTACATCGAAGGCTCCTTCTCCCGCTTGCCGGTGTTGTTATCATCTCCCTCGCCAGCATTACTTCGGCTGCGGCAGAAGCCCCAGCACCATCCCCTGTATCTAGGACAGTTGCTCTTTCCGTTCCTGTCGCTGCTGCGTTCACCCTACAGTTGGAGCTATCCCTTGATGAATTTCCTGCCACTGGAACACTTGTAGCCCTTCCCGCTGGTGAAATTCCATCCTGCGGTCTTTCCTGCCGCCAGAACTTTCTGCAGACATATCTGCTGCCAATTGGACCTTCGGGCTTACTCCTGCGGCATTTCCTGCCGCCAAAACTTCTTGCGAACATATCTGTTGCCAACTGGATCTTCGGACTTACTCCTGTAGTCGATTCTCTCCCCTGCAGCCTTTCCCGCTGTCGGACCTCCCTCATGCAGTTTTTCTCGCCGTCGGATCTACCTCAACAAATTTTTCCCTGCAGATTTTAGCCAGCTTTTCCCAAGGAAAGCACTGTTCTTTACTGCAGCATTATTGCAGCCTTCTCCGAGCACTACAGCTTTCCTGAGCACTGTCGTTAGTCCTTTGCAGCTTTCGTGCAACCTCCCTGCAGTCTTCTTGCAGTTTTCCTGCATCTCTCTTGTAGCATTATTGCAGCCTTCTTATTGCTTTCATGCAATTATCAGTTAACCGGTGACTTACAAATTTATCAATATCTCAAAATTGAGCTTAACCATCGTCCAAGCCACTTTCAGGCTTCGGCACTCACAGACTTCGACATGCTCGGATTCGGAGCTCTCAGGCTTCAGCGCCCTCAAGCTTCGGCATTCTCGGCTTCGGGACCTTCGGCACTTACGGTTTGAGGATTGTTGGCAAATTGATGCTACCTGTTCAGTCAGCATACCACAGCTGAACTTTTTAAATTCAAGTTGAATATGGTTTTCAACCATGTTCAACTTGAGAGGAAGTGTTGAAATATCAAATTTAAATTACAGGATTTATTATCTTTCCTGTTAAGACTTATAATAGAAAATAATTTATTCATAGAAAAAGTTATGAGGAATAAATTATTTCCTTAATATAAGGAGATATTTTTATTTCATATATTAGAAATTATTTGTTTTCCTATTTTATATTATTTCCTATTATCTCCTAATAATTAAATATGAATTAATTATTGGAGATGTCTGGTGATATATCTTTCCTTTATTATTTTCTTTTTATTATTTTTTCTATTATAGGATTCTTGTAAAGGTTATTTATAGCTCGTTCATATCAATAAAAATATTCCCAAGTATTCCACTTTATTCTGCATTATTCTAAATTTCAACATCTCCTTTCTAGGACCTTCCCTCTCGCTTCTCTGTGTCGTTGATTCGAGAGGGTATACAGCTCGAGGGGTATTATAAAATAGAAATAAGTTAAAAAGGAAAAAAAAATTAGGTAAATACTCGGTTTTCTAAAATTCACTCCTGATTACAACAAGGATAGCCAATGGAGCCAAAGCCATCAGAACGATATCAATCAATGGAAAACTGCTCCAAAATTTTATTAGAATCCAACCATACTTGAAAATTCATTTTTCTATCGAATTACGTCAGATTATAGGAATAGTTACCAAACTAGACAAGAGATCAACAAAATTCAGAAGGACGTGAAAGCACAATACCTCCTCTGAAAGTTGAAGCTGCTATCAGTAAAATAAACACTTCCATCGTCATCAATATCGAGATCATTGGTAAACCTGAATGGGACACCTTCTGCCTCCGTGGTCAGCGGAGTAGCCAACCCACCTTCAGAGCCAACCTTCAGCAAACCAAAATATGCATCAGCGATATAAAGATCTCCAGTTTTCTTGTTGAATCGAAGACCTAACGGCCGCCCGCAGATGTGCTCGTTTTCCAGATAGCTGAAAGCTGATGGCTTCGGGTTACATATATCGGATCTGCTCATGAAACAGAACCAATTTCGTGATTACAGCGACCGGGACAAAGTAATAATTACTAAAAAAAATGAAATTTTGTAAAATAAAATTAAGAATATATTATATGATGATAATCATATGCGAATTAAAAAAAAAAGAAAATTTGAGAACATTTGTTTATAAATCTGTTTTTTGATTTATATACAAATAAACGTAAATTTAAAAAATATAGACAAAATTATACTTTAAAAATTTTAATTTAATGAGTTATTACATTCTAAAATTAAAAGAATATGGTTTTTGATTCATAAGAATGAAGGAGATACAAAAAAAAAGTATTAAATTTTAATTATCATATAAAATTCAATCTGTTAAAATATTAAAATACTTTTAAATTTTGAATCATCTTATTTGGAGTATTTGATTTTTATTTTGCTACTCAGTAGGCTCCACAGGACCAATATTTCCACTGAATCTCAAATGCAGCCAGAGAGGAAAACAAAACGCAAAATGAAAAGTCTCCCGGTTCCCAAATGAAATGACCAACTATAGTTTCCCATCAAACTTTAAATAATCCAATAAATCGAGAAAAAAAAATACTTAAGATCTAAATTTGTATTATTTGAAAAGTCAATCTAATATAAAATTCCTTAAATTCTAATAAAGTAAAAAAATTCACAAGTTGTCAAATTTTGCCCCAAAAATTAATGAATTTAGAAATCATAATAGTTAATGACTTGGACCTACTATTTTTTTGAAAAATTATTACATACAGACGACGTATGCAGAAATGTATGCGCTGACCGATTTCCACTATTGATCAGAGTTTTCATTAATTTTTATTTTTTTTAAAAAAAAAGTTGGACCCACCGAAATACAATTTTCTTCTGATAAATGATGGAGATCAGACGGCGTATGCATTTTTAAGTAATAATTTTTCCTATTTTTTAATTATAAACGGTGGAAAACCTCACTCATTAGCCGGGAAAAGGAGTCTTAAGGCGGTGTTTGGCTGCACATTGATTTGACGTAAATTAAAATTTATCAAATCCAATAAAAATTTGAATTTATCAAATCCTCTTGTAATAGAGATGGAAATTGCTCGCAACCACCGAATAAATGCAACCCATAAATTTTTTGAATTTAAATTTATGCATAATTACATATAGAGCACAAGAAACATTATTATTTACAATTTTTTTGAGTTGTATCATTATGAATTTGATAAAAATAAAAGATATAGGGTGGGGTTTTATCAAGTTATTTGAGTGAGAATTTGAAAAATAGACAAAACAGAGGGCTTGATTTAGAAATAGCAATGTTTTGAGTGTGTTATATGTAATTGCCCCCTTAATTAATATATTGTTTGATATTTGATTAAATTTACTTTTAAATTCATGTCAAAAATCGAACAATATGCTACCAAACAAAACCTAAATTCCAGCGATCGAAGATTTCCAAACCCTCCCACCTGCCCACCGCGCAGTGCGATAACAAAGCCTTCGTCGAAACCTCCGCTTTCTCTTTCAAAGCAAGGGAACAGACCTGTTCGGCGAAGCGTAGGCGAAGTCTGACCAGAACTCGCCGTTCCAGAACACGATTCGGCCGTCAGCGACGCCAGTGTAAGGGCCGCGACCGAGAGGGTCGAAGGCGATGCTCTCCGGCCCTTGGACCTGATTTACGAACTTCAACTCCGCTTTCTGAAGACGATTCTCGGCGTCTCTCTCCGCCGGAAGCTCCGACCACGGCGGCAGATCCGCGGGGTAGACCTCGAAGCCCGGAAAGTTGGCCATGGGACGGTGATTGAAGGGGTCGGTGCCGCAGTAGAGTGCAGCAAGGAGAAATAGACCGGCTAGAATTGCTCCAGCGGATGCCATCACTGACAGCTTTCGAAGCTTTACGGCGAAATGCTTTGGTATAGCTCCTGCTAAGTTGGTTATGGGGTAGGGTAGTTGAGATGTGGAGACGGGTAATTAATGTCTTCACGCAAGGCGTGACGCAGGGTAACAATAAAATTTTATTAAAAAATAAAATCTTCCACACTATCAAAGAAATTTTTACAAAAATAAAAAATAAGAAATTATAATCGGCGACCATTGGGCTTTTTTGACCTAGTAAAAGGAACAATCTTCTCCCCTGCAAAGGTGAGAATTTAGGGCCCGTTTGGGACAGCTTGTACTCACTGTTTGTTTAGCATGTTTCAGGTGATAATCTGAAAACTGCGTTTTCTGTTTTAACAAGAAGCCGATCGCG